TAGAAGTTTTCTAAGAAAGTTGGTATTCTGTATTTGGCGTCTTGTTTTTAAATCTTTTATGTTTAGATGAAGAGAGAGATCGTCCAAACAAGCACCTCTATCAGGGTATGTTCCATATAATCTAAACGACATATATTTTAGGAATCTGCGTTGTATACGATCCAATTCAAGAATATGACAAGTATAATAAGGATTCCAAATAAGGCTTGCATATTCTAATTTACTAATTACAAACGAAAAGTATAGCATTTTTATTATACTTAAATGTGAACTCCCTGGAGGATCCGATGATAAATCCAAGCATTTTACCAGCCGATGAACATACGCTATTTAGATGTGGTATAAAACTAAAACCAATATCAAAAGTAACTCCTAAATCCTTAATTAAATCTGTTCTTTGTAATTTGACATTGTTTACAGCATACCTTGCTAAAATTGGAAATTTCTTTTTGGTATATGTTGCAATAAAGCATTTATCAAAATTTAACTTAAGTTGATTCAAACGACACCAATTTGCTATGAAGGTTAAATTATTTTGAAGTATCTTAACATCATCAGGATGTTTAATAATTGAGTATATCTTTATGTCGTCGGCATAAGCAAGAAATGAAATTATTTTTAATTTAATAATTTTGCATGAATATTTTTATATAATTTGTAATCTTGTAATCTTGGCGGTTTGGCGTAAGATTGGGACATTGATAGGTTATCTCCTTTTGTTCTTTCTGGCTCTTGATGTTATCTGCCGTATTGGTGGAGGTCCAAGTAGCTGCCATTCTTCCTCTTCGTTCTCCCAAGGGAATACGTCCTGTATAGGTGGTTGAATCGTTCTTAATACATATGCCTGGTGTTCTTCCTTAATGGGAGATGAAGCTGGTTTGGTCCTGGCCTTTGGGTTGTTTTTAAGGCACCTTATCTTATGATATGGCAACCTCTTCGCCAGGACTCTGTGAATGTCGTCGTACGGACACGTCACAAATTGTTCGGGGTCGTAAGTCCCGGTTGTTTCTGAATAGCCTATTTCGGAAATTTCAAATCTTCACTTGATCTGCGCAAAAAAAATCATTTTATAAAAATCTTTGGAAAACTTGTTTTATTATGTCTGATGCAAACTATAATAGGTATCTTATAAAAATCTTTGGAAAACTTATTATAATAATATCTAATATTTCAATACGTTGTCTCTCACTCAAATGTGCCATGTCTTTAAAATGAATAATTTGCAAGAATGTCGAACAAAAGTTTACTTTAAACTAACAATGATAATTTTTTCTTTAAAGAACAACAATAAAAAGAAAACAATAAAGAAACAATTGTTAGTATAAATTTAATTGTAAAATTTTCATGGAATTCTTTACCAAAAGTAATGTTTCAATTTTAAAACTGCATGACTCAAAACGGCCCTATGCTAAATAGAGCTGAGCTTTGTAAAATTTTTATGGAGCGTTGTAATTAGGAAGAAAATTTATAAGCCCGTAAGAAAATCAAAAAAATTTTATGTTCACTATTATAAAAAACACTGCGCATGGGTTTCGTCATATGAGACCTACTGCGAATATGTACGATCATCCGGAAAGTACTACGCATCCCGGAACTACTTCATGTGGATCCTACCATCTGATATCTACTGGTTTCTATTTTAAGTTCCATTTTGCCGATTTTTATTGTATTGTGATTGAAATTAAATATTGTAAATTTCAATAAAAACTCAGAAAAAATTTTCATAGCTCTCTGGGTTTTAAAAATGGTGAAATTTTGGCTAGAAAACGTCAGGTACCTACTGCGCATGGGTACTATTATACAGAAACTATTGCGCATTGATAGTATCATCAATTTAATACAATCATTAGGTAACCACTACGCATAAATTCAACCCACTGCGCATGGTTGCAACCATCTCATCCCCACTGCGCATAAAAAGAATTATTTGAGACTTTCTGCGCACACATTAAATCGACTGATACCCACTGCGCAAAAAAAACAACCACCTGATGCCCACTCCGCATGGTTATAACCACCTGGTACCTAGTGCGCAATGACAAATCCATCTGGTACTCACTGCATAATTTGGTAACCACTGCACGTGGTTACAATAATCTGGTACCAACTGCACAAGAACACAATCATCTAGCATTCACTGCGCATGGATTTCATCTGGGAACCACTCCACATGGATCCAACCACCTGGTACCTTATGCGCAGAGATCCAACCACCTGGTGCCCACTGCGCATGGTTAAAATCACCTAGTACCTACTGCGCATGGACACAATCATCTGGCACTCAATGCGCATGTACACACTGTGAAATAACACAATCATCTGGTACCTACCTTATGCGCATACATGATTAATTAAAATTTAAATATGCTGTAATATTTTTATTATGCGCGGCCTAATGGATTTCATCTGGTAACCACTGCACATGGATCCAACCACCTGGTACGTAATGCGCAAAGATACAACCACCTGGTGCCCACTGCGCATGGTTACAACCCCCTGGTACCTACTGCGCATAGACAAAACCATCCGGTACTCACTGCGCATGGATCCAACCACCTGGTACCTAATGCGCTTTGATACAATGATCTGGTAACCACTATGCATGGACCCAACCACCTGGAACCTTGTGCGCATAGATCCAACCACCTGGTGCCCACTGCGCATGGTTACAACCACCTGGTACCTCTGCGCAAGGACACAACCATCTGGCACTCACTGCGCATGGATATTATCTGGTAACCACTGCGCATGGATCAAACCACCTGGTACCAAATGCGCTTAGATACAACCATCTGGTAACCACTGTGCGTGGATCCAACCACCTGGAACCTTGTGCGCATAGATCCAACCACCTGGTGCCCACTGCGCATAGTTACAACCACATGGTACCTACTGCGCATGGACACAACCATTTGGCACTTAATGCGCATGGATTTCATCTGGTACACACTGCGAAGTAACACAATCATCTAGTACCTACCTTATGCGCATACATGATTCATTAAAATTTAAATATGCTATAATATTTTTATTATGCGCGGTCTAATGTATTTCATCTGGTAACCATGTATCCAACCACCTGGTACGTAATGCACAAAGATACAACCACCTGGTGCCCACTGCGCATGGTTACAACCCCCTGGTGCCTACTGCGCATGGACAAAACCATCTGGTACTCACTGCGCATGGATCCAACCACCTGGTACCTTATGCGCATGTACACAACCATCTGGAACTCAATGCGCATGGATATCATCTGGTACACACTGCGAAATAACACAATCATCATCATTGCATGAAATTCATAATTTCATTGAATGGATTGCCCAATTTCATTGAATGAAATTCATAATTTCATTGAATGGAATTCATAATTTCATTGAATGAAATACATAATTTCATTGAATGAAATTCACAATTTCATTGAATGGAATGCACAATTTCATTGAATGAAATACATAATTTCATTGAATGGAATGCACAATTTCATTGAATGAAATTCGTAATTTCATTGAATGAAATTCGTAATTTCATTGAATAAAATTTCATTGAATGAAATTCATAATTTCATTGAATGGAAAGCACAATTTGATTGAATGAAATTCATAATTTCATTGAATGGAATTCATAATTTCATTGAATGGAATGTACAATTCCATTGAATGAAATTTGATTGAATGCAATTCGGAATTTTAGTGAATGGAATTCAACTTGCTTCTTTTTAATAAATGAAATACGCAAACACAAATTTTATTTTTATTCATTAAAATTTTAAATGGTTAAATTTAATCATTGAAATTGTGCATTCCATTCAATGAAATAACGTAAGTAAATTCCATTGATTGAAATTGATGCTGTTAATTTCAAACATTAAAATTACTGTATAATTTTCTTTACCAATCAGTTTAATTCAAACATTTTAATGCAGCGAATTTCATACTTTGAAATTACTTTTGCATCTAGCATGAATTTCAAACAATGAAATAACGCGAATTTACAAGTTAGATGAATTTTTTGGTAACTTTTAAACTGATTGATTAAATGATAAAACGGCGTTCCATATACTTCCGCTATTGTAAAGGGTATAAAAGAAATACTAATTTATATTTTAATTTTATTATAAACCTCACAAAAACGTTCCCGGAATGATTGTTTTCAGCGATAGTTCACTTTAAAAATAAAATTACAACAGAAGCAATTAATTCTATGCTCGGCCAACGTAAATATTGTTTAAACACAAGTTTAGTGATCATTTAAGCTAATTAGCAAAGTAATAGCTGCTAGGTATATTCATCATTAAACATAATTTGAAATTTGCCACCTTGGTGATTTTGACCCATAGATATCGCTTTATTAAAATGTTTAATTTAAATCTTATTTTAGAAAATATTAAGTATTTGTCGTGGCAAAAGTATAGAATACAGGTCGTTTATAAACTTTTCTAGGCAATCATTTAGTTAAGCACTCGTGTCTAAATTAAATTCGTGACTAAAATGGCGTTTATTATAGGTATACTTATGTTTATTAATAATACATATTTCTTATATGATTACTTTTATACACGTTTTATTTAAACCAATCTAATTGATAACTAAAAAAAAGTGCAATTACGATTATCAGATTAAGATAAAAATAATTTTACTTTCAAGTATCAACTAAATAGGTATAAACAAAATATAAACATAGGCATACATATCTACCTAAACTTTAGGCGCGGATACAGGGGGGCAATGGGTGCAATTGACCCCCCTGACTCACGACCGAAGCACTTTAATTTGAGCAATTTTAAGATTTGTTTTTGTTTTTTGTTCTTTATACCTACCTAAGTTTGTATTTCATATATATTTTTTTAAGACATCATAATTTAAATGCAAGTATAACATGAAAAACAAACTAAAATGTTATAAAATTTTTGTTTATAACGAATTATCTGGAAATCCTGGATCCGCGCCTTTCAGTAAAAGGCCGCTAAGGAAGGACAATAAAAAACAATGCTTTTATGATTTTTATCACCATAATTTATTTATTATATTCTTTTTACAACAACTATCAATTGTTGTCACAAAAATGATTGTGATTATTATTAATAATTATTATAATCAGACTTTGTAAAAAACTTTTAAAAATTTACATACATACAATGTATGTACATCCACTTTCCATTTCAAAACGACCGGTCCGCGCAAGTCATGATTTTCTTTTTCTATATGAAGATGTGAACAGTGTACATGTTTTTTGCCTAAAATATAAAAATAATTTTAATATTAATTTAAACAATATTCCTATATACAAAGATCTGTGTTTTCTTTATAAACTATTTTGAAACATTTTTACATTAATTTCAATACGTAGGTGTTCAATCAATTTGATATATTTATAAACATTTGTATTGTAGCTTTTATCTGATAAACAAATAAACAAGTAACTTATTAACGTAAACTTAGCAATGATTAAACTTGGCATTTTGTTAGTATTTGTTGTTTTTTTAATATTGACATGTTTTAATTTTTTATTCTTTTATACACCATATACAGGGTGTCCCATAATTAGCGTGCAATACTTAAACAGCAGATTCTACGTACAAAAATAGGGGGAAAAAAATGCTTCCTAAGGGAGCTACAGCCCCCGAAACAGGAACCCCTGATGGTTTTTATTTAATATCTCCAAAACCAAGATATAAAAATAAAATTTTGAGAATTGATCAAACTCCCTGTTACATTGCATAAAATGTTACCTGTCTTGAATAATTTTTCCTAAACATGGCCATGCAAGCTAAATCTTTTTCTCTAGTTGTGATTTCTTTATGAATTTTTATGCCATGTAAGGTAATTTTTAAATAGATTTTAAGCGAAAATGGTAAATATTATCGAAGTTCAACAGGAGGACCTTTTTTGTGTGTAAACCTCCAAAATTTTATTTTTTTACTTTCTATGGTCCATTTATCCAATTACTATATAAAATGTTCAATTACAATACTTTTTTGCATGTTTTTATAAAAACTATTATTAAAAATTCAAATATTCTTATTTTTAAGTAAACGTAAATAAAGTTTAAACAAAGAAACTATCCTTTTTATATATTTATAAGAAAACATCTAAAATCTTTAAAACAATGGCATATATAAATTTTAAATAAATATTATTTCTTAAGTGCCCAATAACTATATGGTTTACCCTACACACAGAGAAATTAAAAAGTTAATTTACTAATCAACTTGTAACATTAAAAAGATTTTTGGAACACAAACAAAAATTAGTATGCAAACGAAAAAAACTTAAATTATTTCAGTGTCGTTTACGTTTTGACACACGTCTTGATCATTTTTTTTACTTTTAGCAGATTGATCTTGAATAATTTTGTAATTCTGGTAGTTTTATCCAATCTTCGCCATAATGTTTAACCAGCACTTCAACTGGCTAAATGGATGTAAAGAAAGAGTTTTGAAAATAACCGATAACTCTTTAACCGATTTTATATAGCAAAGAAGCAGTTTTGAAACGTTTTAAAGATGGCAATACATTCTTTATAAAAAAATTGATGAAATTAGCGAAAAAAGTGAATTTTGATTATTTTGTCGATTAGAAACTTTTGCAAATAATGGCCTCATATACAAATAAATAAATAAAAATAACACTATGATAGTTCGATTTACTAACATTGAGTACGCCCACCTATATTACCTAATTTTGGGCTGCTGATTTCAAAAATGCCACTCGTTTTGCTCCAGGACGTCTAGGATTCGAAATAATTGCGTAATAAAATGCTCTGCCCAATTATCTCAAAATGTAAGTTTTTTGCTAATATTTTGATTATTTATTAAATTATTTTGCCTTAAATCTATTTTGGATGTTCAGTATATTTTTGACTTTTTTTTTCAAAATACAGGGACTCCATTATGGTGTTTCATTTAAAACGAAATTTTTTTTTTCTTGCTGACACATGAAAATTTTGTTTTTTAGGTTAAAAAAAAATTCCCTGAAAATTTGAGCCCTTAACTTTTATTCTAAGTACTTCCTTTTTAATTTTGTAGTTGTTCCATATAAAAAGCATGTATTTTTAATCATTTTTACTTTAAATTTCTATATTTTGGCTGGGTTTTGAATTATAATTTTTATCACCATAATTTCCTGCATAGTATTCACGGTTTTTGAAAGGCCCTGCATCAATTTTGTTTTTGATTTATTTACGTTGATTGTAGTAGCTCCAAAAGTCGTTTTTTCACTTTTTCTCACATATTTTTGAGAAAATCGAGCGAATGACTGGTTTTACCGAAAAAGTTCAAATGAAAAAGTTGTAGGAAATTTAATTTTTGACAAAAAAGGTTTTTACGTTCATATCACTAAAGTGCTTTTTTTAAGAGATATAAGCAATTCAATAACCGAAAACAAAGAAAAAATAGGTTTTATTGAAATTTATGTAATTTGATTCAACAACTATTTATTGCTTATATCTCTTAAACAAAGCACTTTTTTGTCAAAAATTAAATTTTCTACAATTTTTTTATTAGAACTTTTTTGGTAAAACCAGTCATTCGCTCGATTTTCTCAAAAATATGTGAAAAGAGGAAAAAAACGACTTTTGGAGCTACTACAATCAACGTAAATAAATCAAAAACAAAATTGATGCAGGGCCTTTCAAAATATAGAAATTTAAAGTAAAAATGATTAAAAATACATGCTTTTATATGGAAAAACTACAAAATTAAAAAGGAAGTACTTATAATCAAAATTAAGGGCTCAAATTTTCAGGGAATTTTTTTTTCAACCTAAAAAACAAAGTTTTCATGTGTCAGCAAGAAAAAAAAATTTTCGTTTTAAATGAAACACCCTAGGACTCCATACAAAGTCATCGGTAAATAAATGTCAAATAGAAATTTTGTTTGTTCCATTGTAGCACGGCGTTCTCTATATCAGGCGGGAGTGTGGTAGTGGGAGGCGTGACGTCAGGAGGCCGACTGCAATAGCAAATTAATGTATAATCGCGGTAATACAAGACAGTTTCATATAAATTATCTATTGCTTTTCTATTAATATCGCTTGATTTAAGGTTGATTTAAATATTACATAAGTTTGCTGCTTTTATAACATTATAAATAAATAAAAAATACCAAGAAAATGTTGCGTTCTTAACAGGCAACAGAAAAATGAATTTATTATAGCGGTAATGCAAGTTTCATATGAATTATTGATTGTCAGAGCCGGCCTGAGGTTTTTTGCCTCTTTGGGCAAAGAACAGTTTTGCACCCCCTTTTTTATTCAGCAGAAAAAAATTATCTTGTTCCGTCCCCAACTGTCAATTATTAAAATTATCTACTTTTATAGAAATATTGCTTAGGTTTCTTTTAATTTATATATAGCCTAATAAAAAAAGAATATATTTAACAATTTTAATGCCAAAATACTATATAAAGAAAAATTCGGGCCAAAAGTCTGATGGGGATAAATTTGGCAAGGTATAAGATGTTAAAAATTTGGACTTAATGAATTATGAATCTGCCCCTTAATACAATGCATTGTAAACTATATTGGCTGAAAATGAGGATGCCTATCGATTTTGATGCCTTAATTTATGTTTGTGGTTATGCAGCTTTTAAAGTTCAGAATAAAATAAATTGTGAATATTGTACCGCAATATTAATAGTAGAAATATTAATCCAGGTGGTTTAACTGTCCCATCAAATATTGTTTTTGCACTTGCACCCCAATTGGAGCTCATGTTTGTAAATATTGCCAAACTAGCGTCATGTGTAACGTATTGGTATATAATTACAATAAACTAAGAAATAATGTTATAACTGCAAGAAAACAAGATGTTAAGGTGTCCTGAAAACTTAAAACTTTACTGTAGCTTACCGTTGTATTTTTTATTTTAATAAGTTTTATGTTTGTTTTAAATAAATTACTATTTAATTAGCAGTTCTATGTTGTTTTAAATAAATTACAATTTTAAAAGCATACACAAAAAAAATCATTTACATTAAATAACATTTGTATGGTTATATACTTATACGCAAAAATATGATACTCTTAATTCAAATCAAATATAAGTTTACTTGTGTTTATTTAAATTAAATCATTATGTTTTGTTGAAAACTTATTTTTTAAATGAATATATTAATTTATTTTAAGTTAACTTTAATATTTAAAAAAATATAATTTCTATATTTAAATACAAGAACATTTAGGTAATTGAAGTAATTATTCTTAATAGTAATAGATCAATTAAATTTTTTTTATAAAATCAAACTTAACAATATTATTATTTAATATTCCATATTATAAAAATTAGACTATACTTATTTTAAATATACTACTCCAAAACAATCGTTATTTTAAAATAATTAAAGAATTATTTTTTGTGTGCAGTTCTGTTTGTTTTAAATAAATTACTTAGTAATACTCCCTAAAAGCAATAATAATCCATAACTTTGGTTGCAAAGCAATGTAATACAATAGGCGCACGTTGGTAAGATCGGCCTCCTGACGTCACAGTTTCGATGCAGGAGTGGGGGCTACACTGTCGCCTGGTATAGAGAACGCCGTGATTGTAGCCGTATACTATTATAGTATACGTATACTATAATAGTAGTATAATAATTATATAAGGGATATTTAATAAAGCACTTTTCTGCAGAGAAGTGCTTTATTAAATACCAAAACTAAAATTATAATGTTTTACGGTAAAAAGTATCATTTTTTGAAATTTTTGTGTCGTTTTTTTAATTACTAATTAAATTGAAAAGGCAACAAAGTAAATGGGTTTCGGTATAAGCATTACTCTTCGACTATTATTTGATATGTTTTTATTCACATCAAGCCTAAAGTACCCAAAAATTTAATCTCGAATCTTATTTATTAAATCTTATCAAAATTGAATATCGAATTGAAGTATATCTACTTTATCGTTCAAGCACACTAAAGTGCATCTATTAATTATAATTAATAGATGCACTTTAGTGTGCTTGAACGATAAAGTAGATAAAGGCGTCTTTATACTTCAATTCGATATTCAATTTTGATAAGATTTAATAAATAAGATTCGAGATTAAATTTTTGGGTACTTTAGGCATTTGTATTTTTAAGAACCAAAAATGAAAAAAGAGCAGGAAATGGAAGTGGTAATGGAAGTGGCAGAGAAAGAGAAAGGAAACGAACATTTATGTCATGGCAATATTTCATTACAAAATTTTATGAGATATAGGTACCTACGCCGTTTAATGAAAGATCAAGGATTCAAAAATGCTCTCAAAGTTGACGAGCTTGTCGCATATGGCAATGTTAAAGCTGTCATTAAAAATGTTCTTGGTTCATATCAGGCCTCAAATTGACGCCAATTCATTGAAAAAATGCTTTCCGTTTTGCAAAGAATTAGCGTTAATATGTCATTTAAAATACATTTTCTTTTTTTTTCATCCTGATAAATTTGCCGAACTGATGAACATGGAGAACGATTTCACCAAGTAACTGCAAATCTAGAGCATTGGTAGATATCTTTGGGTACAGCGGAAAGAAGTTGGATTCATTGCTGGGAGGCATTTGCTGGAATTTGCAGCAAAAGATGATGATGAGGATTAAGCATAATAATACTATAATCCAATTTGATATTTGATACGATTTAATAAATTTAAGATAGACAAAAAACAAAAAAGCAATGCATTAAATTTTGATGGATTAATTTGGATAAAAAATACTGAAACTTACTTACTTTGTTGCCCTTTCAATTTAATAATTAAAATAAATGACAAAAAATGTAAAATAATGGTTCTTTTTTTACATAAAACACATTACAATTTTAGTTTTAGTATTTAAAATGTCATATTGTTAAGATAAATATGATTTATTTGCCGTATACCAATTACTTTAGTACATTCTAGATAAATTTAAGCCAAAATAATTTAATAAATAATTAAAATACCAACAAAATACTTACATTTTGAGGTGATTGAGCAGAGCATTTTTTTTACGAAATTATTTTAAATCCTAGACGTCCTAGGGAAACACTAATGACATTTTTTAAATCAGCGGCCCAAATTTAGTTAAACTAAGGTGGAGTATAAGTACATTAAGATGTTGGGGAAAAAAAGTTTGTAAAACTATAATAGTGTAATAAATACCGTTCATTCGGGCACCATCAGTTCCAAGTTGGCGTTGGTTGTCCCGCCGCCTCTGATCCACAGGGCGTGCTCGTGGGTTCCCAGTTTCCCGCGCCGCAGTATCTGCACAAATTCGTCGGCACGATCTTCAAGCTGGCAAGCCTGTTGGCGCAGTTGCCACATGTGAAAAACCGCTTCATTGCGTCCGATACTTCGAGTGGGTGATTCAAAGTCTTGCACTTTTCGGCTGCCTGGAATCTCGTGCATTTGCACACCGTGCAGGTGACCGCTTTGCAGGCCACTTTGTAGGTGTTTGACATGTTTTCCTCCATTTTTTCCTTCATTTTCAATTTGTAGAAGTACTCTTCGGCCTCTGGGTGATACCTTTGTTCCAGATGGTCCGTGTGTGTCAACGTTTGCGCCATTATTTTCTTTGAGCGGTCCGAAATAAACTCGTTGGTTTTCAACTTGGATTTTTTGTTGGTATTCGACTAAAATTAATAATATAAAGTTACTTAAGGTTTAAAGGGTCATAAAAATATCTAAATTTGAAATGCACATGTTGACCAAGTTCTTTGCAATTTTGATATCATAGTTTGCATATGTTTACGGAATTTGCTATTTAGGTATATTTCAATAATATGGGATAGTATATTTCGATAAATGATCATATGTACAATAAATACTTAACACATTGTACAGTGTACCCTAAAGGTGTATTTCAACGACGATTTCCTACCCAAAAAAACCAGAACTACAAATAATTCATAAAAAAAGAATTTAACTCATTAGTAATTCCTATTAACTGGGCTTAAAACTTAAACTAAACTGCGCACCACTCAATGTGTCGCGACCAAAAGGTTTGTCCTTTTTCAAAACGACATAACTTTTTTGTTTCTTGAACGATTTCATTTTGGTCTGTGATGTCTGTTAGCCATATCCTCTGGCAATTCATGCTATAGATATGAAGCTCACGGTTCCTCAAGTAAATTTTCTACAGGGTGATATGTTAAACGGTGAAAAATTTCAATAACTTCATCCAAGCCCCGTTTGAAAAAAGAAATATTTTTTCTCGTTTTTACTTTGAAATAATAAAGTATTATGTCTTACCTTTAAACGGTTTTCAAATTTTTCGAATTGGAATCTTAGCAACGAAAATATTATTTTTTTTAAAAGAGTAGATTTAAGGTTTTTTGATAGACAATACACTCAGTATTTTTAAGAACAAGAAGATAAGATGGTGAAAGATTGTTCCTTGAATAATTCTGAACAAGCGACAAGCAACAAATTTTCATTATTTTCAGAGGGGCCTAAGCAACGACCATTTTTTCAAAATAACATTTTGGTGAAAATTTGCGAAAACTAGACCTGAACCGATATTTACGTTCGTGATATGTTTTCTTTTTAATTTTGACCTCCTGATTGTGATTCAGTTGTTAAATTTAAGTTTCAGATAAAACCAAAATCACCAAGAATCAAAATTCGAAAACATCTCCCTGCTGTTAAATGTCTTAATCAAAGTAAAAACGAAAAAAATGTTTGTTTTTACAAACGGGGCTTGGATGAAGTTATTGAAATTTTTCACCGTTTAACATATCACCCTGTAGGAAATTTTCTTGAAGAACCGTGAACTTCATATCTATAGCATGAATTGCCAGAGGATGAGGCTAGCAGACATCACAGACCAAAATAAAATCGTTCAAGACACAAAAAAGTTATGTCGTTTTGAAAAAGAACGAACTTTTTGGTCGCGTCACATTGAGTGGTGCGCAGTTTATTTAAATATTTATAACATTTATATTTTTGGTTTTCTAGATGCTTGTATCTAACTAATTATATATAAAATAACGCTTCTAATGTGAATATAAATATGTTTGTTCAATTGAAAGAATGTGTTGCAGAGAGGACAAAAATAATTTATTATCATTAAATATTATTCACTACAAAAAAGTTTACCAAATTTGTACAATCCGTGGGTTATAACGATCTTAATTGTTTAAAATAAATGTATTCAAAAAGTCATGTAAATAAAGTAACATTTATAATTAAGCGCGAAGTAGAAATGTATTTGACGTACCGAGTGCCAAACGATTGGGTAGACGGGCACTCCTGTTTAGGTGGGAAAAGTAAGGGGGAAAGAATGCCGGTCAAGGTGGGAAAACTAAGAACGGAGATCATTCGAGAAGCGCCCGTGCAGCGAACAAGAGGTGTAAATTTGGTGAATGTAAAATTTGTAGGTTTGTACATTTTAATAACTTAATTATTGTAGTATAAATATATATTCTCGAACATTTTGTTTTAATTAGTTTACACTTTATGCCTTGTGTAATGCTAAATATTCGATCATTTGACTTGGCGTCATAGATCGATCTATTCCGCCATGATGGCTACCGTTTTAATAAACCACGCCCGTAATCGACATGAAATAAATTTACGTTTGAACTATTTCGTAGTATAATTTAGATTCTAAATAATAAACAATTGGTACTTGATTTTATCTAATTAAAAGAGCAAGGTTGTACGGGATTTCATCTAATTTAAGGGGCAGGGTCAGATTGAATTTTATCTAGCTAAATGTCAGGATTTTACTTGAGTTTATTTAATTATTTTAATAAATATTTCTTAAAGGGGATTTACCATAAACGCTGTGTAAATTAAGTGTAATTAATATCGATTTTCTTGAATACGGGATTTATTAAATTGTACTCGCAGATTCACATTTATGTCCCGTAATTAGTTAAGTGATTTTTACCATATTTAATTAATTGGTATTATATTTGGAGTGTTTAGCAACAGTAATTGTACGATAGCGACATTGAATGTATCCACTGTCCGTGGAGTCCTGATACAACAAGCCCATTTTGAATTACTACCCTGTAAATTTTAAGAGGTGTGTAAAGGTCTGTATTTATCTGAATGCGCAACGCAGACATTGCCTTTTGTGATTTGGTCAAAATATTACCTAGTATTAAAGTTTGCCGACTAATGAGGCATAATGGGCCATTGCGGACCCTCAATTGAAATGACCTCGAAGCCGATTATTATTTACTCCTTATTCTAAAAGTTGATTGAGCCTGAACTCTAATAAATATTACATGAAAAATTATGTAACACTAAACTTAAATTCAACTGTAAATAATTATAAAAAACTGTATTTGGATGATGGAGGCCTATAGCAGATGAAATGCTTGATGGATAAAGTTAAATTTAAAATACAAAAATAGAGACTACGAATCAATCTACTTTTACCCAACAAACAAAAAAATGAGCAAACAAACTAAAAATGGAAACAAGGAACACATAGTACAGCTAAGCTCTAGTATAAGGTATTGTTTATTTATTTATATTATATGTGGGTTGTGGTCGCAGTAAGGAGATATTGTGTGGTTTTAAGGGTTTGTAGGATGTCCCTTTCTTTCAGATTTCTTTTTCAAAAAATAAGTTAAATGTCGTTTGAGTTGCAGTTATTGTTGTTGCTCTATCCAAATAAATATCATTATTGTTTGTTATATATTTTAAATATTTTATACGTTTAACTCTCTCCCATAATCCCTCATTTTGGAAGGTTTTATGAGCAATATTTATATAAAAATAAACGGGAGCCTTCCGGGTGTTTGACCTGAGTTCGAACGTACTTTATTGTCTTTAATTTACTGTTTTCATAATTTACATTTTAATACTTTCCCCATGAACAACACCTCAAAAGTACGTACCCAAGGTACCTTGGGTTACTAAATTAATGAGCTTTACTACCGTAAGTATTTATTTTATTTATTTGTCGTAATTTAATATAACATTTGCCGTACCTAGTGTTATATTTCATTTTATCACTTGGGGTGTAACTTTTACAGATTCTTTGCTGGGGGGGGTTTGCACGCTTACAAACTTTTCAATTGAACTTATTTTCAAGTAACGATTACAAATGGAGCGGAACTATTAGATGCCTTTCAATGAAAATACCTCTTTACTTTGGATTTAAAAAGTAAAAAACAGTAATACAAATATTTACAAAAAACTCACCGGAGTGAACAACGATTCCGCAGGGTTATCCGATTTTGGTTCCTCAAAATTCCGCTTATTGTCGCTGCTTTGAACGCTATTAGGATCGGCCTTCTTGATGGTTACGTTTTTTGGTACGTACTTTATTGCGTTGCGTTCAGTTCGTAATATATGCTTTGGTGTGATTGGTTCATTTAAATTCATCATCTTTGCAGTTGAAAGGGTCGAAATGGTCTGTACCATCGGATCTTTCTTTGAAATGATTTTTTCCTTTAGTGGTATATTCTCTTTATTTTCTAGTATAGGTTTGATGTTAAGAACTGTTTGACTTTTAACATCTCTTAGGCTTGATTTTAAGTTTGGTTTATTTCCGCGAATTTTCTCCAAATCCAATACCTCTAACGTGGCGGAGCGCTTCTTTTTTACTGCGTCGGTACTGCCAACCTGAAAATAAAGACATTATTTGAAAAAAAAAGTTAAATATTTTATTTTTTGTTTTATTTTATTATTATTTTAGTTCATTTCAAAACCCTTATACAAAAATGTATATTTTGTTTTTAATAATAGTGAAAATAGTTAATTAATTATAGGTAATTAATTTTTTTACAAATTTTGATTTTACAAAATAATGCATTGCATTAAAAAATTTAAAATTTGCTTGAAGTAATATATGAACGGCCCTAATGTAAAAATTTAAAATGTATTATTTCTACAGGGTAAAAAAAAGTTGATAAACCATTGAGGTTGTTTTCTCAAAAATAGGACTAAAATGTATGGCGGGTCAACAATATACCACATTGGGGGAGTTACCTATAAGCAATTGTTTTGCTTTGCTTTTAAGGTATAAGAGATTAAAAATTGGATTTTTTTACTTTTTTATTTTTTAAGAATACGTATAAAAGGAAAATAAAAAGTAAAATTTTGTTAATAATATAGATATGATGATTTAAAGTTTGGGATTTCTGACCGGAACTGTCAGAAAGTACATTTTGTCAACCATGTTAACTGAAGTTGCTGTAAATGCGATGTATAATTTGTTTCTATACCAGCTGTTTATGTTTGTTAAAATTATAGAGATTTTTTAAACAATATTTATTATTAATAAATCAAAAACTACTTGTCGGAATAATATGCAGAAAGATATAATAAAAAATCATGTGCAGCATCGTAAGTAAGTGAAACTTCTTATAAACCAGGTGTGTGTGAGAGAGAGACAGGGAGATAGAGACAGGGATAATTTCAAAAGAAATATAACAGTATAAAATTTCTGTAAAAAAATTTATTTTTTAAACCATACTAGAAACGCGTTACAAGTCCCTGGTTATTAGTGAGTAGTGACCGTCCCAGCACGCTACGTAAGATTTGAATAACACAAACACAACAACCCCAACCAGTTCCCCAACCCTTTCTCTAAGACATAAAATTTAAGGCGTGGGAGGGCCCTGTAAGGGAACTGTTTCCCGGGCCCTAAAATTATTCCAGGACGCGCCTGATCATGTAGGTACTGCTGGTTTATTAGAATTATTTTAATAATAAAATTTCATAAATACCTTAAAACATAGGGCAAAATTAATCTAACACAGACACTGCTATCTAATATAACTAGTAGTTATTAACTACTGATTAATTTCATCTGAAATAAATTTATATCCTTGGCATTAAAACAGAAGCGAATTTGCTTTCGGCACGCGCCTAAAGAGCGGCATGCTTTGAGCGCGCCATGTCTTTGTCTTTTGTCGGCTTTACACCGCGTTATTACAAATAAGCCGCATTATTATAAAATAATAAAAACAGTAGAATATTCGCTACTCTACCGTACTCATAATTGTTTATTGTTTATTTGATTTATTTTTGGTAGAAATAAACCGTTTGGTAACAATTTTTATTTTTTTAAGTAATTTTGCGTTAGAATATCGTTTATTTCATTGTATCAAGATAATTTGAGAAGAAAAAATTAAAAAAAATTAAACCCGGACCTGCTGCGTGGTAACGTTGTTTTTAACAATTAAAATGATCTTTTGTCCTTTATTACTCCAAAACGAAAAAATATAGACTCTTGTCGTTTTCACCAAATTATTTGCCATCAAGAAATCATTTTTTCAAGTTATATACTTTGTGTTGCTAAAATTACGTTTTCCGCCTCGAAATGGGAATTGTTTTAAATCTTTGGATAACGTTTGTTATTGTTCTAATTGGCGGAATAGAACTATCCGGATATTTAACTGAGAATAGGTCTCTTGTTTGACGTAGAGAATTGCCCACTAAAGACCAGCTTATCAAGTCAATTTTCCCTTGCAATGTGTAGGACATTATAACTTATAATTTTAAATAAAAGAAATTAGTTTATGTTAAAACGCTCGAAATACACACTAGCAAATGCAAAACAAAACTGAATCCTCGCCTAGGCCGGCAATCTGCTGGTTCACAAATATAGCTCTCTTTCTCCTTCTCTCTACGTTATATCTTTCTCTCTCTCGTGTAACGAAATCTCGGAACGTTACATTTTTTCCAATTCACTCTCCATTCTCGTCAAATATCAGAACGCCACCAAATAAGTTTCACTTCAAAAATTTGCCGCTGTTTTTTTTTTAACAACGTGTTTCGATAACTTGACGTCAAGTTAGCGAGACGACATCACTTAAATGATGGCACCAAAAAAATGAGTGTGAAAATGCCGCCCTTTTGCCGCTAATTAGTTGTGGAAATTAAAAAAATTCCCGTTCTTTTATTTTCGTATAATCTCGTGTTCAAAAAATAAACATGTGTTTTGCTAACTTTGCATCAAGTTTCCCAAACAACATTACTAAAAATGACACTATTACATAGCTATTATTGCGTGAATTTGTTGTTTTTTTTTGGTGATCGGTTTCATAAACTCAAGAGTTGAAAATTGTTTGAAAGTGGGATTTAAGTGGGAAAGGTAAAGTTGTGCGAAAGTATGGTTAAATACGTAAAAACATTATAAGCAATACATTTAAGAAACGTTAGGCCAACATATAACTAACGTTAGCATGCTAACATAAAAACAGCATATAACTAACTTAGAAACCGGGACATTTAAATAGAGATGGGAAAATTCCCATTTGACTAAAATTCCCGAAAACTTTCCATCGAAAATTCCCGAAAACTTTCCATCGAAAATTCCCGAAATTTCAAGTTTCAAAAAAAAATTTTTTATTGCTAAAATATTTTTTTTTATGCCAGGGATTTGCAAAAATATATAACACATTAACTTTTTGTCAAATTTTATTAAGAAAAAAAAATGTTTATAAGAATGTAACTGCAATACTATTTTTAGTATCTTTTACTTTGGAATATTCCTAGTATACTGAAACCTACAAAATAAAAATAAAATGTTTACTACTAGAAATTCACTGCTAGCAAATCCTAGATATTACGTAAAAAAAATTAAAAGGGACAAAGTAACTAATATATAGGAATATTGAAAAGTAAAAAGTAAAGTAAAAAATAATTCCAAACACTAGATTTTTTTCTTGGCAAAAATGTAAGAATGATTTTAACTTTGTTTATTGTTTTTATTTTGTTTACCTTTTTTTAAAAAAGGTAATCCGGCTTCATTGAGGTTATGTAACATAACTTACATTATTTATACTTCTTCTTCTGCTTTAAATTAACACACATTAAATTCTTATTCAAAGTTTCTTGGCCTTGTATCATGGCCTTAACGAAAATCAGCGGTTAAACAATTGACATTTAAATGAAAAAAACAAGGAAAGTTTCCAAGGAATGTTTCCGGTAGCTTAAAAGAAACTTTCAAAATGAAAATAAATTCCCAATTGGAAACTTTCCAAAACAAAACGGAAAGTTTCCATTTTAAGGAAACTTTCCGATTCACATCTCTACATTTAAACCATACAAAAAATAGCGTTTTTTGATAACATTAGAAACCCGTTTTTATAACATACAATTTCTACCAGAGTATTTTGCATGGAACTGTACTATTTACGTACTTACCACTTTCTGATGCATGCCGTTCAAACTGTCCAATATGTTCAAGTCTTTCTCCTCCAATTTCCAACTTTTTTTCGCCGGCACGACAGCGTACTTTTTTTCTCCGTAAAAAAAGTCCGATACTACTCTGCCAGCAAAGTTCGCTAATTCCGATCGTTTGGTGAACTTCTGGTACTCCTGTTTGAAGTGGTAGACGCAAAACTCACACAGGTTTACGTTCACGACGGCGTTGCAGCGTTCGCCGTTTTTTTTCAGTCCCTTGCACGCGCCCAGGTCCTTTGATTGGCCCAGTATCATCAACTTTTGCGCGTTGTCCACAGTCAAGCTGACCTGAAATTTAAATTTAATGTTTATGGGTAGTTTTTAAAGACACTCCATTATATCTACACTAGGGTGTGCCAAAAAAACTCGATAATTTTTTTTTCTTGCTCTCCACCCAAAATGGGTGATTCTCCAGAACGGAGCAAATATGCTGAAATTCTTAAATAAAATATACTAATGAAAGTAGTTAGCATTTAAATAACACTACAATAGACAGTTTATGTCCAGCAGTAGAACGTACTTAACCAAAAAAATAAAACATTATTTATTTTATTAATTTGAATTTGCTTAAACGCTTTAAAGTCAACTCCATGGACTGTCACCACCTAGTGTAGGGACAACCAATCATCCATATACTATTAGACTAGATGCAATTGTGAAATGATTCTTTCATATTGCATTTCCTCTAACTTGGAATGTATAAAAAAACACAACCAAAAGCAAACTTATTGATATTTTAACCCAAAATGTCGAATAAACCATGAGACATCATTTTACAGCTGAGTTCTTTGCAGTCTTTTAATATATGATAAATCCCCTGTATAAAACGTATTTTAGTAATGTTTGAGGACTTCGTCGTTTGAGTGATTTAGTGTTGATTTGTGTAAGCAAGGCAAAGGGGGTGTAATATTTAATAAAAATTTATAAAGAACAATTATTTGCGAAAAAACGGGTAAGTATTTTTATTAAAGATCATCTCCATGTCTTTAATATCAAAGGGATTTAAATACAATTGAAATTTAAACTTTCTATAGGTGAAAGAACCAAATATGCTTTGCTTAAATAACAGTTTACTAAAGATACATTATGTACCATTTTCCAAAGTTTGTGACTTTAACTATAAAAACATCAACTCCATGGACATCAACTCCATGGAGTTGTTTACTTTCTTATTATTACCCTAAACTCTTAGCTCATATAAGTTAAGGCATTAACGATAATTAATAATATATAGTTAAATTATAATAAATTAAATTAAATTAAATTTTTCTTTAAAAAAATCTCTAATAGTATTATTATTATAACTATATGTATATATTAAGTTTAATTTATAGCCGCATTGAAATTACTTTATGTTATTAAGAAATACACATTGAGGTATTATTTTGCTAGTGTTTTATTGATCTTTGCTTTTTATTTTTACCACCCCAATTTATCCCCGTTTTGGATATTCACCCAAATATCGTAGAATATGTCTGAACAAATATTCTGTTAAAAGCGAAGCTCATAATTTCAATTTTAAGAGGTCCTTCATCGAATCTAAAGTTTTGCCGCAGAAAACTGACTTTTTTACCTTATTTATTCTTGCAACCTAGGAAGAATTTTTTTTTTCATAAAATCCATGACTTATTCTTACAAAGCATTAAATTTGGACAAAAAAATCTTATTAAGCCGAATTTCTATTTTCATTATTTGATTTTTTACAGAGCTTTAAATTTAAAGTTAATAATACAAAAATAATGACTTTATACGCCTGTAACTTTTAGAATATTGACGATACAAAAAATTCGCCTAAAACTTTTTTGTGGTCCATCAGACAAGCTAAAAAATTGCCATTTGACTTTTTCGTCTAACTTCAATAGTTTAGCTGAAAAAGGCAAAAAACGTAAAATTTTAAATTTAAAGCTCTGTCAAAAATCAAATATTGAAAATAGAAATTCAACTTAATAAGATTTTTTCGTCCAAATTGAATGCTTTGTAAGATTTGGTCATGGATTTTATGAAAAAAAATTTCTTCCTAGGTTGCAAGAATAAATAAGGTAAAAAAGTCAGTTTTCTGTGCTATTTAAGCGGCAAAACTTCATATTCGATGAAGGACCTCTTAAAATTGAAATTATGAGCTCCGCTTTTAACAGGATGTTTGTTCGGACATATTCTACCATATTTTGGGTGGAGAGCAAGAAAAAAAAATATCGAGTTTTTTTGGCACACCCTAATCTATGTATATAACTTTTTAAGTAAAAAGAATATTGCTGGATTTATGCAGCACAGATTAACATTAAGTTAACATTAAGCTAATTTAAGGTGGGTACCTATTTTATGCAGCAAAATTAGTGTCAAATTAAGCGTGCGTATAAGTTAATGTGTTGTGCTGGATTTATGCTGCACAAATTAACATTAAGTTAACATTAACATTAAATTAACATTAGATATCATTAAGAAGTTAAATGAACGTAATCCATTGGAAGCTTTTATGCAACACATTAACATAAACTTTAACATTAAGAGATGGCCAACTTTTATCTTCTTAATGATAATGTTAATTTTTATTCATCTTGCGCAGGTTGCAGTGCAAATTTTTAAATAAACCGTGTCAGTAATGCCAACATGCCCGAAATTAAAATTAAACGCGTTGCTGAATTATTAATTTTTTGTTCAATGATTGTGTTCTTTGGTTTATTGTGTGACGTGCAATTTATAGTTTTCATTCATTTTACCAAACAGATGCTAAAACAGGGTTAAAACAAAATCCAAACAAACCAAAAATGTCAGATGTCAAAATTACTTTAACTTATACGCACGCTTAATTTGCCACTAATTTTGCTGCATAAAATAAGTACCCACCTTAAATTAGCTTAATATTAACTTAATGTTAATTTGTGCTGCATAAATAAATAAATAACGTGATAATTATTACTTAAGTGACGATGAATGAGATTTCTGTGTAGAAAATTGCATTATAGTTTTTACGCGATGTTTAATACCACGTGTCGCAGGTCGCAGTACACTGGAATGGCAAAGAAGTGGCCAAAATCCATAAAAAAAATTAATACAGATATCATTATAAAATTTTAACACCATTTATTTGGGGTATAAATCTTGATCCTTTACAAATTTTAATTCAATTAGTTCCGTGGCGGCGATTTTATAAGGGTTTAAATGATTGATATGTTGTTAACAAGTTAAAAATTTAGCTAAGTATTTTAAACATAATAAGTAGACCCATTTATTTGAAGAAAAAAAAACAAAATTTAAAGAAAATCTAAAATTAAATAAAAATCTCCTTATAAATCTCTTTAATCAAAACAAAACCTCAACCATATCCTAGTAGAATATAAATTTATCTAACTGGTTTATAACTAAATTTAGTCAGTTATTTTTTTTTGGTCAGAAATTTAAATTGAAAAAAATTAATGACAAGAGTGACAATTTGCTTACATCCCTACATAGGTCTCCTGTAAATTACAAAAATACCTCAGTGCGAGTATTTGAATAAAAAACACGTTTTATTTGACAAAATTTACCGTTACTGAGGAAATGAGTTAGACACAAAAATAAAGTTTTCTTGAGAAATAGTTAGGTACCTACTTAATATGTGTACCTATACAGGGTGTCCCATAATTAGCGTGCAATACTTTAACAGCAGATTCTACGTACAAAAATAAGAAAAAAAGTTCCTATAAACATAGGCCGAGAAATGCTTTCTAAGGGAACTACATCCCCTAAATGAGGAGCCCCTGAAGATGGTTTTTATTTAATATATCCAAAACCGTTCAAGGTAGAAAAGTAAAATTTTGGGAATTAATCAAACTCGACTTTTTATGATGTAATAATAACAATTCATATCAAATCATAGCACAAGATACGTACAAAAAAGTTAGGGTAGTTTTACCCCCACTCCCTTTCTATCTGACCTACCCCTTTTGAAAATTTTAAATTTGTTATTATTCCAACTAATTGGCTATAAAAAGTTTGATTATATCCCAAAATTTCACTTTTCTATCTTAAACAGTTTTGGAGATATTAAATAAAAACCATCTTCAGGGGCTCCTCTTTCAGGGGCTATAGCTCCCTTGAAAATCATTTCTCGACCTATTTTTATAGGAACTTTTTTTCTTATTTTTGTACGTAGAATCTACTGTTAAAGTATTGCACGCTAATTATGGGACACCCTGTATAATCTGAAAAAACTATTTTTGATAGCTGATGATCTATCTAGCTAAGCGCACATTTAAATGTTGTCAAAAATATAATTTTCGTTGCCGTAAAACATTTTTATAAATTAAAAAAAAATCACAGCTGAAACATTTAAAAAAAAAAACTGACGAACCATGATTGTGCATTGAACATAATCATTTTATTAACTTGTTAAAAACAATAAAAATGATCATTTGTTCTTTATTAGTTAATTTTGCAAATAAGGCAATTTTGCTGTATAGAACAGCTGCACTTATTACATATACATAAATCTTCTACAGTACCTATAAGTTAAACCCCTTTTCTTCTAAGGCTTTCAATTGTTAATACTACAGTCATAATAGGTATGTGACAACCTTATCTCCCTAATTTGTTTCCATAAAAACAACAAATTTTTTTAAATGCAAATATTTTGTAAATGCTATAGCATATACTGTTCACTTTGTTTTATCTGGACTCGTGTTTTTTTGTTAGGTTGGTGGCTTATGCCAGTTTGACTTAGTATTTTTAGTATTTAAAAATGGTACTTCTGCTAAAGAATTTATATTTTACATTCGAATTCGTTGCTATTATTTTTGGCATAATTATCTTTTTATTTATAATTGACAAGTAAATTATCAATAATAAATATTATTGTCAATTTGACAGTGTCAAAGTAGTATTTTATTAAATTAAATACTTTGACACTGTCAAATTGACAATAATATTTATTATTGATAATTTACTTGTCAATTATAAATAAAAAGATAATTATGCCCACAATCCACACAACAAGGTCTATTCGATCTTGTAGTAAAAATACTACAAATCACTGCAACACTGCACATCATACGATGGCGGCCATTTTTGTTGTTTTTTGACAGCCCTGATAGGATAAGGTTTATTTTTTACAAAAGAGGAGTAAAATGATTGTTCTTACCACTTTTAAGGCTTGCAAGTCTCTCTGTAAGAAACACAACGTTTAAAACGATTATTAATCTATACAAACCCAAAGCACCCTGTTAAAAATCACCCATTAAGACCAATAGAAAAGCTATTGGGATTTTCCAGCGGTAGCTCTATTGGTTTGAATTGCAATGGTCTCAATAATGGTATCTGTACCATGAATCACCAATTCAAACCAATAGCGACACCGCTGGAAAATCCCAATACAGACCGATAGAGACTAATTCCCAATAGAAGAGCTATTTGGATTTTCCAGAGGTACCACTATTGGTTTGAATTGGTCCCCACTATCCATTTTAGACGTCTTTAAGGTAAAAAATTACGTGTTTTGATGTTTAAATAATTTCTCAAAAATAGTGCTGTTTAACATTTAATTTAAATTTTATAAATAGCTTCTGCTAAAAGTAAGTAGTGGGGCCCACTGCTTACTTTTCGCAGAGTGGGCGACAGGACGACCTGTGCCCCTTTAAAAATTCCAAAACGCCAAGCGTTTCCATGGCCAGTAATTTTGCCTTAGCAGCTCAAGGCATTCCACCTTTATAGGCCTATGTATTGTGCTACAGAGGCGAGAGGTATGCATGGGTTGCCTACCTATATACCACTTTAATATTTATTTTCAAAATTCGCCAATATATTGGCGAATTTTGAAAATAAATATTAAAGTGGTATATAGCAATAGGGTTCCTTGTACCTACACACCGATAAAATACCAATTCAGACCATTAGTTTATCTATTGGTATTTTCCACTAAGAAAATTGCCAATAGAAACAAGTGGTCATTTGTATTAAATTGCGCAGGCGCTGAACATTTAAGTGGTATTTACCAATTGAATTTCAATTGGGAATTTCCTGTACTTGTAACTTCTTATAAAAACCAATTCAGACCATTAGGCAATCTATTGGCATTTTCCAGTACGGAAATTACCAATAGAAACCAATGCTCATTCTATTGAGAAACCAATAGGCCCAATAAAGACCATGAATTGCAATTCATTCCATTCTGATTTTTTATTGGTTTCTATTGGTCTCTATGGGTGATTTTTAACAGGGCACAAGAATTGTAAACAACAAAAATGGCCGTCATCGTATGATGTGCAGTGTTGCAGTAATTTGTAGTATTTTTACTACGAGATCAAACAGACCTTGTTGTGTGGATTGTGATTATGCCAAAAATATTAGCAACGAATTCGAATGTAAAAGCCCTTTTGAGGGCAAAACTTCATTTTGATGAAATTATGCCAAATGCCACAAGGGAAGAAAAAATACATTGCCTTATGGACATTTCTGGAGTAAAAAAGTAACAAATTTGGTTTTATAAATAGGTATTACATTACACATTATTCATTGGACAACATTTACGTTCACAAAAAATTTTAATTTCTTTTATATAAATTCTTTTCAAAGCAAAGATTATTATCTGCAAGGAATACTTTCTCTTCTGGGCCGTAAAGCAACCTATATTTAACTATTTTTTATATGATTTTACTCATCCTAGCACCACCAAAGCCAAATTAATGGGGTAGTTAAATTTTTTCTGACCTATACTTTTTATGGTTTTATTCAAGGCGTTTTGTAATTTTAAACATTTCTGTGAAATCGGAATTTCAATTGAGTTTACCGTTTTCGAGATATTTACAAAACAAAATCTCCTAATTACGTCACTAGGCTATTGACAACGTTGCCAGCTTTTTCTATGGTTGCCAGTGTGTTTAGTTTACGATAGATGGCGCCACGTTATAATATTTTAGTTGAGAAGAAGAATTGATTTTTTGACGTTTCTTTTTTTCGGGTTGTTTCTTTTAAATTTAGATTATTGAAAATCAATGTTATTGTTATGTTATTTGTAATTGATATTAGATAAGTGATTTATTAATAACGGACTCCAAAGCAGAGAAATCTTGTGGAATGGTTGGTTACATTGAACATTGGAGCTTTTAAACAAAAAAAGTAAGTACCTATAATTATAATCATATTTTGTCGTAAATGCATTTAATTGGTATAATGCCTAGTTCTTTATATTCTTTTAGATATATTATTATTTTTTGTAAATTTATTTCATTCATTTTCAGCTTTATTTTGCCACTTTTTTCTATGAAATAAATTAAACTCTGCTTTAGACAGTTATTAGGTACCTATTTATTACATTTTATTAGGTTTCACACGGTGTTTCAATGTGTAAACCTATCAATAAAACTTTTAATTTCAGAATTTTCTTTAACCTTCTCTTCTTCTTCTTTCACTCAACTGACAGTGACAGTATTTGTACATAACCTCTTCGGGTATTTTCTGACATAACCGAATGAAATCATTAACAAGACAACTTGACAACAGGGTAATTTTCAACCAATAGAAATCTTAGAATGTTGGTCACATGACGGGGTTTGTGACGTCATAAAAATTTATATTTTTTGTAAATATCTCGAAAACGGTAAACTTAATTGAAATTCTGATTTCACAGAAATGTTTAATATTACAAAACGCCTTGAATAAAACCATAAAAAGTATGGGTCAGAAAAAATTTAACTACCCCATTGCATTTTTAACTACGAATTTTGACAACTTAACTTGACAACTGCACAATGTAACCTACAATAATTTATACATAACCACAATTAGATTTATAACTATAAAGCTATAGCTATAGCTATAGCTATATAGCTTAGTTTGTTTTAATCAATGCGACCTACTTGACAACTGTATTTACCAACCAAAACCCTAAATTTGCAACGTTCCGCAGTCCAGATAAAAAAAATGAACTTTACCTATGGGTAAATTAAAATTTTTGCTAAAAAATAAATTATCCTTAAAATCACTTTTACTTTTACATATCAACCTTATCTCCCTAATTTGTTTCCATAAAAACAAAGGTTATTTTTTTAATGCAAATAGTTACCTACCTACTTTGTAAATGCAACCTAAATTAAAATTTTTGCTAAAAATTAAATTATTACCTCATCCTTAAAATCACTTTTACTTTCCATAACATTGGGATTCAATACACTCAAAACAGTCCCAGTAGTGGTTTTCCAAAAAGCACTATGAGCACTACCAAACAAAAACAACGTAATAGTTTTAATATTGCTTTTTAAATCTGACAATTTCCACATCGAGTACTGCTTTCCTTTTTGAAAGGTTTTAACAGGAAATTTAGTAACCAAGACTCCACCAATCACCCAGTCTTTATTTGTAACTTGAGACTGCACAAAGTTTTTCAGTTTAAGAAATGGGATGGCTTTTCTACCAATCATTCGTTCTTTTAAAACTTGTGAGGAAATTAATGGGTTTGTGATACGTAAACCAAACACATGGTCTGTGTAAACATAACCTGCAGGTGTTTTTGGCTCTATTTTTGTTAATTTAAGGGTATTGTTAGGTTTACTCAACCATGAACTACTAGTGTTCGGTTTGACTGTTCTTTCACTTTTATTATAATGATCTTTATCTTCATACAAAAAATACTGTTGTGTGGTAGAAACGACACTCTCCTCATTTTTACTGACGTTATTTTCCTCATGTTTTTTCGTAAATATATCTACTTCAGTCGCAAACTTCTTTTTTTCAAACTCTCCAGAAGCATTACATAAAAAATCATCTGATGGGTCATCTTCAGCCAAGTCAATTAAACTATTTTCTGTCATATTTTTGTCGTTTAATTAATATCAAATCAAATTAATTTCTTTTCTTCTACATAATATGTTATATTATAATAACCTACTTGGTAATAAACATAGCCTACAAAAACCATTGACAAGGAATAACTTAGGTTGGGAGGGCGGGGGGTTTACAAAAACATGAAACCATTGGCGGTGTTGCCGGTTGGCAGATTTTACCTATTTTGTTACAAATTTCATGTATCCAAGAATACATCTTAGTTATTTTATGGAGCCTTGGATATTAAAAACTATTTCAGTTTATTTAAACATATTTGTATTATTGTTCATTAAAAAGTTTTAAAAAAATATATAATAAAAACCTATGAAACGTATTTTGAAACAAATATCATGGTTGCCCGATATATTGTAATGCAGGCAACCCGTAGACAAAGTAATACAATTTATTTCCATTTGTTATATGGTTATTTCTATTTCTATCAAAGATCAGTAATTGATATATAGTTGTTTCCACTTTTCAATAACCATTTTCAAATTTTTGTGTTTATTAAAAACTTTCTTAATTTTTAGGTTTTTTAGGTGTATTAAAAAAAATTCTTATAAAATATTTTATATTAATAAAAAATGTAAAAATAATTGTTCAAAAACACATCAAAATAATAAAATTTAAAATACTGCTTCATTAAAAAAGTTTGGTTAAACATCGAGTTTTACATAATACTCAATATAGAACTCATCACTGTACTCAGGTACAATGGAGTCTTGATCTTGGTTTTTTATAATTGTTTGAACCACGACCAAAACATTATTTGTGTTTATTGGTGATACTTTTGTGTTAAACTTTAGTTGAGATAATCCACATCGTCTATAATCCAAATTGTACTCGAGAGCTTCATTTAAATAGTTTTGTGAAATGACTATGTACCGTCTACCCTAAAAAATAATAAAATAAGCTGGTTTCTTAAAAAATAATCATAAATTATTACTTGATAAAATGCTTGTCCAGGATTTTCAACCAATAATTTTTGCTGTTTGATCAAACACTGGCCCAGATCATGAATATTTTGAACCCTCACCACTTGCAGATTACTGTGCTCAGTGTCCATGGCTACATTTGCTTCATAAGCAATTTGCTTGTACTCTTCATTTTTATAAGCCGTTAAATCGTAATCCATTCTAGTTACTGATTGTCTCTTGTCCCATGTAATAGGCGAATACTTAATAACTACGGAATACATTTTTGTCACAACTGCACTAAACAAAGGCTAAAACCACTTTGAAATAAGGACACGCCCGTATCTCCTATAATATGCCACAAGTGTTTTGCACAGTGTCAGGGATTTCCCTACGTACGAACCGCTGCAGTGTTGCCAAGCCTTAAAAAGTCCCACATATCGCTTAATTGTTCGGCAATCGCCAGATGTCGCTAATTAAAAAATGAGGGATTAATTTTAAGTTTAAAATAGTTATTTATGTCATTAGGTTAAGAAGTAAGGCTTTTTGTGCTAAGCTCAAGGTTTGAAGGCCGACGCGTAGCGGAGGCCTACAATTGAGCGAAGCACAAAAAGGCACTTCTTGGCCGAATGGCATACAACATTTTATCTTCAAAGCACTTTATATAGGTCAATTTAATTCAACATCAAAGCGGCCTAACCTCACTTTTTTAGAATCTCACTTATTTATTAGCTAAAGATTACATTAAATGTACAATTATTATTGCTTTTAGAAGCAGGAATAGTTTGACAATACCTAGCAACATGATTTAAGTAGACATGGATTTTTGCTATTACATTGAATTCAATTACAAAATTGTTTAATAAATAGGTAGGTAGGTATCTAATTTCAATTTGTTTGGATTTTTATTTAAAAAATAGGTAGTTTGGAAATTTCAAATTGGAATGTTTAATCTGTGTTTAACATTTAATTTCACTGAAAACTTATAGCAAATTAAAATTAAATTAAATTAAAAGATAATCGTAGAAAAAAATCGTGCGTTTTCTGGGTTGCCTAACCTCACTTTATGTTTTAATATTCATATTTAATTTTACAATAATTTATTGAAAAATATTAAACATTTACAGTAAAACAAACAAATTGGTGCTTAATTATTATAAATAAATTAAACCAGTTTAGTGCGTTAATTTCTTAGAAAAGGAATAATTTGTCAAAACAATACCCCTAGCGAGAAAAAATCGAACTAATTACTTGCCTCATAAAATTTTTTATCGGCCTAGGCCATAACAAGGTATTTCTTTATCGAATGTTGACAACAATAAAGTTTAAATTATAGACCGCCTGGGTGGCGATTCTCGAGTTAAGAGAACGCTTCTCATAGGAGAAGTGGGCATTTCTCTCAAGTTTTGTCAGGCTGCATTATTGAATTTAAGATAAGTTAGTGCGTTCTTCTCTCGGAAACTCTTTTCTGCTTTAGGAAAACCAAACTATTGCATGATTTTAAGAATGCAGCCTGTCAAAACTTAAGTGAAACACGCCCACTTCTCATGAGAATAGCGTTCTCTCAACTCGAGAATCGCACCCCTGGAGATACAATAGATTTTTTATCAAGAATTCATATATATATATATATATGTTTCGTAGGTCTTACCGGGGGGAGCAACACGTGAGGTCTAAACTCACATGGTCTAAACCTCGTTCGAGCTAAAATTTACATGACCTTCAAAGCACGCTAGACCCAAAATGTGTGGCAACGTCGCACTTCAAACACCAAATTCATAAGCATGGAGCCTACACAAGGAGCCCGAACTTAATAGGGAAAATTGACAAAACCTGCCCTCTAAATTGCACAAATTAAGTATTTTTTTTTCACCACCAGCGCTTATTGTTGATGCGTCCTGACGTCTGCTCTTTTGGTAGCGTTTCGGTACAAATTAGTCAATTGTTTCAGAATAAACGGGACACCAGCGGCGCTGGTCCAGCGCCTACTTTACTTAGGAAGATTCTTGTTTACATGCAGTTCGGACTCCTTGTGTAGGCTCCATGTTCATAAGGTTTGGTTCACATTTTTCTTAAATGAAATGTAAATTTTCGGTCGGGCGAGTTTCGGTCTGGCGTGTTTTGGTAGATCCACAATCCACACATTGTGGGTATTTCCTTCTTTATCTCTGGGTAGATCTCTAAATCAGAGACTCTGATATACCCATAACCAACAAAATTTACAAAGTTATTTTTGCCATCATAAAGGTACATTGATATTGTTAGTAGTAGTAAATATATTTATTGGAAAAACCAAAAGGCTATCGACCGAAGTCTGAATGACCTTTTCCACCGCAATATTTAATACTGCATATCTATTAGATTAGATTTGAAGGTCATGTAATTTTAGCTTGAACGAGTTTAGATCTTACGTGTTTGGGTCTCACGAAGCGTACCCCTTGGTTTTGTTACAAATATTTCGCGGAGCCTCGCAGAGCTAATAAATAGTATCTTTCATTCTAAATTTTAATAGTTTTAAAAGTCTTGTAAGCTTTGTATTGTGCGCATAATATATTATATAAGCACAATACAAAATAAGGTATAAAGGTAGTATACTGGACGCAGAGGTGGGCCTCAGTGCAAATCAGTGTTGCCAGAAATGCAGAATTTTCTTCAATATGCAGAATTTTAGCCTAGGGTCAGTTAACCAGTAATTGACCATCAACCAGTTATTGACCAATGTACCGATTAAATGATAAAAGCAAGGTCCCTGTATTACCTAATTAAAAACTTATATTATTTGCATAGTGTTTTACCCCTTAACTTCTAGATGGCACAGTTTTATTAATGATATCTGCTTACAAGGCATTGGTCAACCACTGGAAAATCATGAATTTTCGTGCATTAAATTTTTTTTCGTCAGCATAGAAACTCTTTTTCTTTTTTAGTCAGCTGTTATCAAATCTTAAAACAAAATTAAACTCAATGATATTTTTTATTTTATTTTAAACTAAAAATAGAGGAAAATATAATAATTTATTCACGAAAATTTCCTTAACTGGTCAATTACTGGTTAACTAACATCGAGAGCTAATGAAGAAAAGAAGAATATTTTGTAAAAACCACTACAATATGAAGAATTTTTTAAATTCGCATGTTTTTTTTTCATTTTTAATTTTTTTTCAATTTTCTAGAATATTTAATTCTTTAACTGGATTTTAACACTGTAATATGATTTAAAATTTAAATTTTAAATGTAATTATTTTATTCATTTCGTATGCATTCTGACATCTCTCGATAAAATGGTAAGACTCGAATTGCATCACTGGTGCTACACTGGGAAAGCCTCGAATTTTAATAGATATGATTGGTATAAAATAGGTATATTTATTTTATTTATAATTTATAAATCATAACTCCATAAAATATAATATAGGTACCTACTATATTATAAATTATAATATACCTATAGGTACTATAGTAGGTATATACAGGGTGTTATATAATTAATGTTATATATTAAAATACTGAATACCTTTTGACATAAGAAATAAAGGAAAAATATTTTAAAAAGCATTTTTCCAAAGATAAAGAAAAAATATGCATTAGAAGTTTTTTATATTTTTTGTGATACGCCACTGGTTACACACTTAAGTGTTTATCTCTGCACACCTGTATTTTGTGAGTACATAGATACCTACCAACCAACAAAGTAGCTATGCGTTGCCAGATGTAAAAAATTGTTACTAAAAATTTTTCTTGCAAAATATGAATAAAAACTCAATAAATAAAAAAGTGTTATGCCCTTAAAGCTCTAATACCCTTCTGTATTTATTTACTGATCCAGCTATTAGCTTAAGCAATGATTAGAAAATTTAGTACCTTTGAAATTTGAAATCCATAACCACAAAATTAATTATTTCATCAGTTTTTTCTCTGTTTACTCAGATGAAATTGGGACCAGTTCACAGGTTAAACTTTAAACATTTAATTTGTGTAAATAAATCCAAAAGCACTTCCCTTAGTTAAGATATTTACAATTTGAAAACATAACCTAAAATTTAAAAGAAATGCACTAGATTCTGTCATAAAAGTTGGCATATTTTGTTTGAATTTACCTTCAGTACAAAAATGAAATAACCAACAATTAATAAAAACGCCAAATTGACAATTTGCATTGTTAATTTTGTCATTTTTGTAATTAAGCTAAATTTAAACAATGTTTGTCAACTTTTTTGAGAGATTTTGGAAACTGTTGTTACCAACCATAACATAATAAATTAAATTAGGCAACTAGATTAGCCTAAAGTGCCTAGTCGATCAGTGGCGTACTTTTTGGTAGGATAAAGGTTATTTTAAATTATTTTTAGACTTTGGAATTTAGAAAAAAAAAGTTTCAGGTGCTTCTTTATGGACCCTAAGGAACAACCCATTTTAATATATAACATTAATTACATAACACCCTGTATAATATTATATTTTAAGGATTTGCATGCATGCACATGTGCATTGTGTATTGGAGATTTATTTAAATATAAGTTCAAGTGAAGAAGATTCTCAAGGGTAAATATTACAATTTTAAATATGTATGCATATTTATTAATTAAATGAGTGCCTTTGCCACAGCAAATAATAATTAAGTATTTTGTATCTTATTTTAAGATTTTCCAAAATCCTCGAACAGGGTGGCTCTGTGAAGTGCCAAGTGAAGAGACAAAATTTGAATGTCGATGCATCGACATTCAAATTTTGTCTCTTCACTTGGCACTTCACAGAGCCATTTGGCACTTCACAGAACCATGGTGTAATGCAATACTTTATAAGGGTGTTTTCAATAATGAATGATGTGAAAGAAAATACATTGAATTCATAGATTAATTTTCTTTGCGTATTGCGTACCCATTGCGTACCCATTTTAAAGATACAGGTACAAATTCTGCAAAAATGTCTGTCACCAAAAAACATTTAGATTTAATAAAATTAAATAATTTATTTAATTCTTAAATCATGGTGTATATATACTATAGTTTTTGTTCTGCCTGTAAAATTAATTCATTTTCTTTAATTTGTAATTCTTTATCTCCTGTTTACCATAAAAGATATTTGACTTTTAAAAATATTTTTTTTTTATTATTATTAAGTACCTACCTAATCCAGTCAGAAGATTTTTTATCTAATGACGTTTTACATCTCTGCAGAAATATGAAGAATTTTTAAGGTTAAATTGAAGAAAATTGGTATAAAGAATCTGGCAACACTGGTGCAAATCATACTTGTAGCCGTAGCCCTTGTACCTTAGATCACAATCCACACGTGGATTGTGCCTTAGATAAGATAAGCACAAATCAGGGCCGGATTTAAGAATATGGGGGCAGGTGGGCCAAGTTATTGTGGGGGCACCCTCCGCCATAATTTTTCATGAAGTTAATCGTAAGTTATATCATAAGGGCATC